TGTTCCCATTGCCAAAAAGGCGCGCTCTTTTGTAGCTTCAGGCCTCTGACAAGGGGTTTAAGGACTAAAAAGATACATATCTGGGGTGCACAACCTTCAGGGCTCCCCATGTTATTTTCAGAGGGCCAAAGTAGGTGGGCACAACTTGGATTTTTCACTGGGCACCAAGAAAGATTCTATGCTTTTTGAACATTTTGTATCTTGAAGTGGTTAAGTGACACCTCCAATTTTCAGCAAAAGATACATATCTGGGGTGCACAACCTTCAGGGCTCCCCATGTTATTTTCAGAGGGCCAAAGTAGGTGGGCACAACTTGGATTTTTCACTGGGCACCAAGAAAGATTCTATGCTTTTTGAACATTTTGTATCTTGAAGTGGTTAAGTGACACCTCCAATTTTCAGCAGTTGTCTCTCAGTGACTCCCGGAGGACAGAGGGCACAGAAAGGACTTGGCAAGCCCAGATTGTCATTAATCTTGCAGGTAAACTACAAGTTTTAACCTACAAAGGCATGAAAGGCTTGAGACCTGGTCTCAAGCCATTCATGCCTTTGTAGATTAAAACGATCTGTTTAAACTGGAGGCAGTTTGAGAACAAGAGCTGCTAAAATGGAGTGGCTTAGGAGGAGGTGTGGCTGACTGGCCAACCAGGACTCTGAAAGCACCTACGTTTTATTTTGTGAAAAAATCTACGTATTTGTGGAGTCCTTGGGGTTCTCTGAGCGTGGTTGTTCAATTGCAGACGTTTCATTACCCAACTAGAGTACATCATCAGTGCTAATAGGTGTGGGGTTTGCTCTATTTCTATACAGTAGCTTGCCCTGCCAGTGTTGGTGGGGATGTGGTTTTCTCCTTTTTTCCCCAGCCAAGCCAATAAGGGAAGAAGTCAAGAGAGGAGGGGAGAGTTTCCCTACACAGCATTGAGGAGAGAAGAGCAGACAAGTGGAAAATAAAAGGTATAGGGCTAGCAGCTGAGGCTGGTGGGAGTTGAAGTCCAACACAATGGGCAGCTGCGACCAGGATGGAGAAATTGGGTGACGCGGCTAGAAAACGGAATAGGGAAGTGGTTGGTGTCCTTGAAAGGAGTAGATTTATTTCCTTGTGCAGTAAAAACTCCCAACAGAGGGTGAAACCAGAAGAAAACATGGCCCCTTCAGGGATGATGAAATGAATCAGGAAAAGAGAACAGGTTTATTGCTCGTTTACAGAGCACATACTTGACCCACCAGATCCCAATTTTAATCTGTAGATGGGTTGGAAATTAGCTCTTGTAATCCCTACTGATTGACTAGGAACATTTTGGTGCTGCTTCAGTCAACTAAGTACAATACCTAACTTTACAGGAATTAGCAGATTCTCGGTATTTTCAAATCTATTAAAATATAAATGCAATCAACATAAATCCTATTGCAATTATAAAAACCATAACTTACCTCACTGAAATAGCCAAATGCATTTCAAGCTCTCGCATCTTTGAAGGAGCCCTGTTTCTAAAAGCTTCCTAAATGTTAAAAGTGAGAGTATGGTTCTTGTAGCTGGGGGGGGGGCAATTCACAAGGAGAGGAGCTCCTCCACAGAAGACTCACCCCAAGATCCCTCATGAGAGCTCAGACCCCTGAGATCCCTTAGCAAGTGCTCTCTCCAAGCAAAAACACATGGTCTCAAAGATGTCCAGGCCCCAAGCTACGTAGGACTCTAAAGATGATCACCAGCACCTTGACTTGCATCCAGAAACACATTGGCAACCAGTGCAGCTCCTATAGTATTGGTATAATGTGACAATACTGGGTGGTCCTAGCTAATATGTGGGCCACCACATTTGGCCCAAGTTTTCATTTCCAGGTGCTTTTCAAAGGCAACCCCACCTACAGGACATTGCAGTAGTCTACTTGGGAGGTGGCAAAAGCATGAGTAACTGTAACCAGCACCTTCTACTCCAGGAACAGTCACAACTGGTGCACCAACCAAAGGTGGGAGAAAGTCCTCCTGGCTGTAGCTTCCATCTGCTGTTCTAGCAGGAAATGACAGTCCAAGAACACCCCCAGATTGTGCATCTGCTCTTCCTGGAGGAGCACAACCCCATCTAAAGTCTTGTCCCCAAGTCAGCCAGCTTCTGAACCCAAAGGCACTCCATCTTGCTAGGATTCAATCTCAACCTGTTTCTCCCTACCCAGATCCTTATAGTTTCCAGACACCAAGACGACTTCCACTCATCTCCTGGACAGCCTGGGATATATATTTATAAATGAGTACCATCAGCATATTGATGCTATTGAACTATTTGATGACCTTCCATCAGATTCATGTAGATGTTAAATAAGATGGGAGAGAAGATCAAGTCCAGAGGAACCCCATACTGGAGTCCCTGAGGACTGATTCCCCTGCCACTGGAAATGCCCACTTAGGTAGGAACTGAATCACTGAAGAATGGTGCCCCCAATTCCCAACTCTAATAGCTGGTCCAGCAGAATACAGGTTTGAAGATAACAAAGGCTGCCAAGAGATACTGTAGGACTAGTAGGATCATGCTTCTTCATCTAAGCCCTGCCATAGGTCATTAACAAAAAAACCAATGCAATTTCCATCCCATGACTGGGCCTGAATTCTAACTGAATCTAAGGAGGGGTTGGAATTCCCCCTTCAGGGACTCTGATGCCTCTTCCTTGCACAATATGGCATTCACAATTGCTTGAACCCAACTTCCTGTCCACTCCCTAGCAATATTTACAAGCCAGGTGGGACAGGGATCAAAGCCACAGGTGGCAAAATACATGTCCTGGAGGACTCTATTCAACTCCTCACAATCCACTGATTCAAAGTCTTCTCAGATAATGTTGCAAGATACTGCAGATTCTGTTCAGCTGGCTACTATGAGCCAATGAGAGTGATAATTTAGGACAAGTCCAAGCCATCTCAGACCTCACTCCTACGGGTGCTAAGTTGAAATCACCCAACGTTAACAGCCTAAGTATCTTGACTACCAAGCCTCAGGTGAGGTCAACCAGCTTTTATGAGTTTAATAGTGGAGACTAAAACACCCATTGGTGTAGAGGAGTGTATGGATGGCCTTGAAGAAGGAATTCAATTATTGTTGTGTAAACATCAACTTAGTCCAGATAGAAGGGAGGGGGTTGAGGGGGGGAAAAAAGCCCTACCTTGATTCTCTTTCATATAAGATGGAGTGGGGAGTGGGGAGAGGGGGTGGAGAGAAAAAGTGTTTCTTAGGCTTTCAAGATTATGTTATCATACTCTTTAACAATCAAGTAGTGTTTCAGTGGTTCCCATGGTGCCTGTTTCCTGACCTACAATATTGGCATTGCAGAACATTGGGCCAGATTTTTCACCTCACACGAACAGCTTAGAAGTAGCTTACTGCTTTTCCCACATCTACTGGTACTTGGACTTCTCCCAGTGTAGAAAAATTGACACCAAGCTAGGTAGGTGAATCTTCTGCCTAGCATCAGGCTATTCCTA